GAGCAAAAAAGAGTTTGTGGAGGTCAGTTCACTTCGTGCTGTTTTCCTCCTCTCCCTCTCGTGCACAGACTTGGGAAAGTTGCAAAAGAGGCTGGGCCAGGTGACCTCAGCTGTGTGGGTGGAGTGGGTGGAGTGGAATGGGAAAGCTAGGCTTTAGGGCTGGCTGCACGTGGGTGGGGCCCCTTGAAAATTTAGTTCACAGGGATTCTGGCCTGGGGGGATGAGGATTGAAAGGCTTGTGGATGAGAGCTTGCAGGGCAGGGGGCTTACAGGGGGCAGGGGCCTGCAGGGTAACTTGCCACCTTTGTGGGCACCATAAAGAGCCTCTGGCTGGTTTCAGGAACTTCTGCCTCTGCTGCTGGAAGCCACCCAGCAAAGAGGCCTTTTGTTTGTTAGAGTTTTAGATACACATGTGTGGTAGATTCAGCCCTACCATCAGTCTGGTAGGAAGAGGTTCTGATCCTCACCCCTTGCCCTCACCCCAATGCTGTACACACACACACACACACACCTCCCACACACACCCACTGGCCCCCACATTCCCCCCCTCCACGTGCACAAACCCTGCCCCCATCTCCCACACCCCTCCACGCACATGCGTACACACACACACACACATCCCACATACCATGCCAGGCATGTGAGATGCGAGGCAAGTCCTGACAACTCTGGGACCTCTCAGGTGAGGATGCGTGACCCAACCTGAAGTACATAGGAGGCTACAGCAATTTAAAATGCTCTTAGCATAAGGCTAATTTTTGTATCTCTTTAAGCTGCCTGGAACCGTGCCCTGGGTAACTCTAGCTGGCAGATAAAAGGGGAATGAAGCGAGTTTACACATGTCCAAGTTAAGTGGACCATCAGATCTCAAGGGATCCCCTAAGGTGTGTAACACATCTGATGCACGCCTCTGTCCCCACATTCCTTGTGAGATGGGACTTTGCCTCCTGATAGCTCATAACTTTGTTTAATAATCCTCACTGTCAAAAGTTCTTCCTTGTGTCCAATAGAAGTCTTGGAGGCTGCTTTATTGCTACTGTCTTTGTCTAGTCTGGCCAGTGAAACTATACATTCCTCATGGGCAGAGTGAGTACTCTTGAATCCCATATTCAGCCATGCATAGTGCTGGGCACAGGCCCTGCTAAGGCATTTTTCATGGAACAAAAGCTGAAAATCATTTCCATACCAAACATGCCTGAAGGCAGGATGCAATGATTTCCATGAAGTGTAATACTGGATAGGATACACTGAAGTTGGAAAAATTCATGTTTACCCCAAATGTACTATTTTGGTTACTTGGGAAAGGGCACATCAATCCACCCTTGGGACAACCACTGATTTATGATGGCTGACTTGTTCTTAACTGTTGCCCTTTAGAATTCTTCCCTCCATATTCTTCTACCTTTTTTCTGAAACCAGGTTTTAAATGAACATTTGTGTTGGTGGGGAGGAGCAGGGGGGATTGTAGAGGGGTAGAGGCATGTTTGGGCCTTTCTCAGAGAACACATAAAAGTCAGCTGGGTGCCTGCTGCTGCTAAGGGTACTTTGGGGATAGGAAGTGAACTGTCTTCAGCTAGTCCTTACAGCTTCTGAAACCTGTACTTTCAGGGGATGTTTGCAGAACTATCCCTAACACCTTTGGAAGCAAAGTCACTACAACCCTCAAGTTCTAGTCTGCACTTCTCTATCCATGTGGATCAAAAGTCAACAACTTCCTTCTCTTCCTCTGACACATGTTCCCATGGAGGGGGATGACTGGCCTCCACCCTGTGGAGGAGGCCCTCATGACATAGTTGCCAAATGCTCTTTCTTCCTGCCCTCCTGCATGCACTCATTCAATTATTTGGGTATGTCAGATCCTTTGGGGACACAAAAATGGGCATTTGCATTTTATCAGCAGAAGTAAGACATGGAGCAAATAAGAAACACAGCTA